AGTATAACGTAATATTAATATAAGACCAAGACAAAATTAAAACATCTTTTATTTTAAACCACACTAAACTAAAAAGAAGCAGAGACCATACAATACATGTAGGTATAATAAAGGTTAGTACAGTGACAAAGAAAGGTAGATAACTTAGACATAAAATGGAGTGCGGTAAGAGATAAAAGCCAAGGTGTCTTGCAAAATGAAGACAGATGGAAAGAAAAAACATCAAAACTGATTATATAAATGGTTCTTTAACATTCGCTTGAAGCAGTTGGTATCAGTAATACATCTCAACATCAGTGGAAGAGAGTTCCATGCAATCGGTGCATGGCTTGAGAAACGTCTGTCATCAACTTTGGACTTTTTATTCTTTGGTACCTTGAGCATGAGATGGTCACCAGGTCTCTTCGACCTGGTCATGGTCATGGTGTTTGAGAGTTCTTTATCCGCTATATCCAAATCCAGTAGTGCTTTGAGGTAATCAGGTGCAGTACCGTGAACTGATTTGTGGGTTAATAGACAAACTTTAAAGAATATTCGTTGGTCTATAGGGAGTATGTGGGCCTTCTTATAGCTTTATAGAAGGGAACCAAGTCCGTGGTTCTGTCTTCTATGTTATAGATGAAACGAACTGCCCCATTAAGGGTGGATCTAAGTTTGTTTAGTCTGGTCTTGGGTAGATTCATGTATAGAGAATTACAGTAATCTAACTTAGATATAACCAGTTGTTTCACCAACATCAATTTAATGCCTTCATCCAGGTAACGACCAATAGTTCTTAGGTTCATCATTGTCCAGCTACATTTCCTTTTGACATTATTGATCTGTCTTTCCATATTTAAAGTTTCATCAAATTTGACACCCAGACTCTTCCAGCTGTCTCCTTTGCACTCCGTAGGTAGAATTTCAGTGCTTCCAAATTGCAGTCTGACACTGAGTTCACACTTTTTTAGAATATGGCTCTTTCCTAACACCAATAGTTCTGTCTTACTTTCATTCAGTTTCATGTAATTCTTCACCATCCATGCTTTTATCTCTGCGAGACATTTGTTTGTTCTGTCTTGGACATCAGTGAACTGTACCACACGGTTTGGTTGAAATGAGATGTACAGTTGAGAATCATCTGCATAGAGCTGTATATCAAGACCATATTTGGCCGCAATTTTCTGGAGAGCTTTGATATAGAGGATGAAAAGAATAGGCCCCAAGAGTGATCCCTGGGGAACTCCAAACAAAAGCTCCAAGAAAGAAGAAAGAGTATCATCAATCTTGACACAGAAATGTCTTTTCTCAAGGTAGGACTTTATCCATTGCAGCGCACTTCCAGTAATTCCATAGTCTTTCATAAGCTTTTCCAATAAGACTGTGTGGTCAATGGTATCAAATGCTGCACTTAAGTCAAGAAGTACAACTATGACAACATTCCCAGCTTCAATTTCTTTGTTAAGATCATCACACATTCTTACAAGTAATATTTCACAGCTGTGATTAGGGCGGTATCCAGATTGGACTTCTGAGTAAAGGCTATGATTCGTAAGATGGACATTGAGCTGGTTTAGTACAATTCTCTCTAGGATCTTAGAGAAGGCAGAGAGGTTAGAGACTGGTCGATAGTTACTGAGAATATCAACATCAGCATTTTCCTTTTTCAAAGTCGGCTTAATGACAGCTTTCTTCATATCCGAGGGAAAAACTCCAGTCTTCAAGGATGAGTTCAATACGTGGAGTAAAAAAGGCGTTAGTTCATCAACACAGTTTTTTAAGAGAAATGCTGGGATCGGATCCAAGCAGCAGAACTTGTTGGACATCTTTGATACCAGGTCTTTGAGTTCATCAGCTGTTATCTCAGAGAAATTACCAAAGATGCAGTCTTTATCAACAACATGATCTTTGTCTTTGTCTTTGTCTTTGTCTTTGTCTCTGTCTTTGTCTTTGTCTTTGTCTTTGTCTTTGTCTTTGTCTTTGTCTTTGTCTTTGTCTTTGTCTTTGTCTTTGTCTTTGTCTTTGTCTTTGTCTTTGTCTTTGTCTTTGTCTTTGTCTTTGTCTTTGTCTTTGTCTTTGTCTTTGTCTTTGTCTTTGTCTTTGTCTTTGTCTTTGTCTTTGTCTTTGTCTTTGTCTTTGTCTTTGTCTTTGTCTTTGTCTTTGTCTTTGTCTTTGTCTTTGTCTTTGTCTTTGTCTTTGTCTTTGTCTTTGTCTTTGTCTTTGTCTTTGTCTTTGTCTTTGTCTTTGTCTTTGTCTTTGTCTTTGTCTTTGTCTTTGTCTTTGTCTTTGTCTTTGTCTTTGTCTTTGTCTTTGTCTTTGTCTTTGTCTTTGTCTTTGTCTTTGTCTTTGTCTTTGTCTTTGTCTTTGTCTTTGTCTTTGTCTTTGTCTTTGTCTTTGTCTTTGTCAGAATCTTTTCCTTCCTTCTCAATGGCTTGTCTGATGGTCGCAACCTTTTCAGCGAAGAAATCTTTGAAATCTTCTGACAGTTTTACAGGATCCTTGTAATTTGGAAGGTTTTGGGTGTCATTTCCTAAAAGCCTGTTGACTTTTCTGTACAACGCTTTAGTATCCCCCGAAGAGGACCTAAGAGAGGTTTTGTGGTGAGCACATCTTTTGACAAACTCTAGTCGGGAAAACTCATCTCTTAGCTTAACATAATCAGATCTCAGGTACTCAGATCTTGTACTGTCTATATAATCTACTTTATCTTTTCTCCACGCACGTTCAGCAGTTCTTCTCTTTCGTCTGAGAATACGAAGTTCCAGGTCTAACCAGGGCATTGGCTTCTTAGTAATCCTCTTTTTTATGTAGGGACAGTGTTTATCCATTAATTGAGTAAGCACAGTGTTGTAAAGGACGACATCATCATTTGGGGACATGTCTTTAGGGAAGTTTGTCAGTTTTGAAATTAAAATATCTTCTTTAAACTGTTCTGTATCAATTAAATTAAAGTTTCTGTAGTTCATGAATTTAACGTCTTCTTTGGTCTTTGTCTTGATGTCTGCATCGAAGAGGACAAGGAAGTGGTCAGATTTGGTTCTTGAGGGACGGATTTCAAATGAAGTCAGTTTTTCCTTGAAGGATCTATTAGTCACTACAAGATCTAGGGTTCCACCTTGGTCATGGGTTGGCTCAAGAGGAACGTGTTGATAAAGGTCATACTCCTCCAGGAGTTGGTAGAGTTTCTTTGGGTAGTGTTCTTCAGGTTTTTCCATGTGAAAGTTGAAATCTCCAGCGATGATAGGAAAACCAGGTTTGACTGTGAGGTCTTTAAGGTAGTCTTCGAATTCTTCTAGAAAGGCACACTCCGTGTACCGAGCCTTCTTGGTATAAGGAGGCCGATACAAGTTCACAAGTCTCACAATATCTTGTTGAGATTGTAGCAGTGATTCCATCACTTGGAAGGATTTGTACTTCGTGACTTTACTATTACATTTTAATTGGAGCACATCACGAAATAGCATAGCTATACCTCCTCCTCCTCTATGTTTTCGTGGATCCGAAAGTATATTCCAACCGAGTTCTTTGATCTCCATTATCTTAGCTGTGTTTCCATCACGAAAGAAAGTTTCTTGTACAAAACAGATGTCACAGTCAACTTCTTGAAGATGCTCTAAGACTCCGACTGTTTTGTTCACTAAGGATCTTACATTGAACGTTCCAATCCTTAAACTCTTCCTAGGCGTAGTTTGGTCTCCTTTGTCTTCTGTACGTACCAGTTTTTTGAATTCTCACATCCTGCTGTCCTATTCATGATTCCAATCCGTTCTCTTACATACGAGGGACATAGGTTGTCAGAGGCTTTGTGGGTCTTTGCTGAGTTCTTCTCAGAGTGTTTACTACTTTTGGCGCAGTTAGAGCACTTTATCTTTGTGACAATATTTTCACTCTTGCTTCTACAGTCTTTTGACTTGTGGTTTCCTGCACAGAAGAAACATGTTGGGTCTTTATCTTTGGCTTTACAGTACATGGAGTTGGCCATGTGACCAAATTCCTGGCAATGATAACATTGGATGACATGAATTCGGTCTGTAACATGGTGTTCCCTAAGGTCAATATGAACATAGTCTCTGTTTTGTCTGATTGACTCACGTACTGCTGCATTGACACGGATGACAGCCGTTTTCTCTTTATCATCGAAGAAAACCACTTTAACCGCATCGTCTTTTTCAGATGAGGACTTCAGTATTTCATTCTTTTCCAAAAGTTTCTCTAGCAGTGCCTCCTTGTTTGTGATATCAGAAGGAATATTCCGAATAGACAGTTTAGGGTCCAATTTCTTTCCTGGTTCGGACTTTGACGATACCTTGTATTTCTCTTGACTTTTAAATACTGTTTCAGCTTTCTTAAGTTGATCCTTGGTAACAAACTTGAAGGTTGCAGTATTTCCGGACACTGTATAGTTCTTCACTGGGTTGACTTTAAGGGAACCTTTCATTTCCTTTTCCTCATCTTTAGTAATGGGTTCTTCCGTTTGAGTCTTCTCCACTGTGAGTGTGTGTTTTTCTGCAAGCTTAGTTTCTTCTTGTGTTTTCTTTTCTTTGGGCAGTGTTGCTACCACTGTATTCAATAAATCTGGTAGAATTGTAGGGAGTACTTCTGCTAGTACCTCTTTGAGCTGTGTCTTTATAATTTCCTTGAAATCTGGTGATTCCTGTTTAGTAGTAGTTGTGGCTTGTTTTGTTCCTAAAACTGTTTGTGTTAGTTGAAGAGCATTCTTGGAGAAAGTGTACAAATCCTGGATAACGACAAACATATCTTTTTTGGCAAATCCAGGTAGAACGTCCTCAAATAGCGCTGATTGAACAGTTATCTTAATCTTTTTATCATTCTCATCTTTCTTACCTTTAAAAGACATTGCCGTGCAGTTTATCTTTTTCAGTTGTTCCTTCATCTTTTCCAAGTCCAACTCCATCTTTTCCATGTTATAAACCCTGCTAAAAGATCAAGGACCGAAGGGACAAATGACAAATTGTCAGTTCTTAAAAAAACTAAACAACTGTTTTGTAATAATTCGATACCTCAAATTATTTATTATATAGTAGTGTTGAAAGTATTAAAACTGCATGCATAAATTATTCTCAAGTATGTGACTTGATTGATAATTGTGGCGACCGATCGGATGAGTTGGCATGTACCAATGGTTTCACATGCGACTCTGCTCGTATCATTACAAAAGATAAAACATGTAATGGGAAATTCGATTGCTTCGACATGTCTGACGAATGTAATCTGGAGTGCTCAAAACAGATACTGGAAAATGTAGCTCTGAAAGTAAGCTCATTGATCATAGGGGGGCTAGCTGTTGTGGCAAACCTGATCGTAATGGTAAAGAACGTAGGATCTCTAAAACACTGCAGAACATCTGTAGCCTTGGCTAACAAATCCCTAATAATCTTGATATCTTTGGGAGACTTCTTAGTAGGTTGCTATTTATTGGTGATAGTAATATATGATGCGGTTATTTTCAAGAAAGACTACTGTAAAAGTCAAATCGAATGGATGACTAGCTTTCAGTGCTCCACGATAGGTGTTGTCAGTACCATAGGATCCCAGATATCTTTGTTTGCTATGGCGGGATTGAGCACCATTAGGCTAAATGGAATACAGGGTTCACTCAGAGTCCCAGGTGAAGTCAACATTGTAAAATCTCTTAAGGTTGCACTAGGGGTTCTTAGCATCTTCATGACATCTGCAGCCATTGCTATTACACCAATAATTAGTTCATTTGAGAACTTTTTTGTAAATGGACTCAAATTTGCTGATGAGCTTAAACTTTTCATCGGAACCCAAAACAAACAAGAAGTCCTCGCAGTCCTTGAAGCTTACTATGGACGGATGAAAGGAAAAAACCTGAGTTGGGAGACGATCCTAAAGATGTACCGTGGCATGTTCTCCCATGATGTAGGATATCCAGACCACACCGATACGGTCACAAAGCTTGATTTCTACGGAAATGACGGTGTGTGCCAGTTTAAGTATTTTTTCGACAACAACGACCCCCAGAGAAACTTCGTTTGGGCGATACTCGCAGTGAACTTTGTCTGCTTCCTATTCATTTCAATATCCTACATTCTGATAGCTATTGTCTCCAGAGAGTCCTCAAAAGGTCTTACTAATTCGCAGAACAATCGACAAATTAGTGACCGAAACCGAAAAATTAGTAGAAGGATAACAATCATCATCACTACTGACTTCTGTTGTTGGGTGCCTTTCATCGTTATCTGTGTGTTGCACTCCCTAGAAGTTCTTGATGCAACTCCATGGTACGGCATATTCTCAATGATCATCCTGCCAATAAATTCTGTGATAAACCCATTCCTTTATGACAATTTTGTCACAGAATCACTCAGTGCACCTTTTCGATCACTCTCAGCCAGAATTGCCAACTCAGCCATTCACCAAACTATCATCGCACGTTTCAGTACTGCTCAACCTGAAGTTATCGAGATGGAGCAGATAGAAGTTCGAAGAGGAGAACCTGGATGCTCTACTGGTAGTGTCCTCGGTACAAAGCATAAAGAAGCTGACGGACCGAAAACAACAGCAGATCTAGATATTCGAGTTTCTTGTCTCCAGAACCAAGCTAGAGATAAAGGAGCAGAATCATCTTCAGCAATAGTTACAGGCGAGGACGGATGTGCTTGGTTGAACAGAACAGATGGTGACGTGATAGTTGAGGTACATGATCCATCTGTAAGACAAAATCCTGAAGTTATCTCTCAAACCATCAACAAAGATCCAGAGATTCACAAAGGTACAAATAAGGGTGGGGTTTTAGAGTCGGAAGTAACACAAGACGATATTGCCGAGGTGCACCTTCAGGAAGGGCAGCATGAGCAGAGACAAGATCCCGAATTTATCTCTCAAACCATCAACAAAGATCCAGAGATTCACAAAGGTACAAATAAGGGTGGGGTTTTAGAGTCGGAAGTAACACAAGACGTTATTGCCGAGGTGCATCTTCAGGAAGGCCAGCATGAGCAGAGACTAGATCCCGAATTTATCATTCAAACTATCAATACAGATGCAGAGGTCTCAAAAGATATCAGCGATGTCGAAGGTTTAGAGCTGCGACTATCGGAAGACTTTATTGTTAATGTGCATTCTGAGGAGGTGCAACACAGAAACGAATATGAAATTTGCCCTCAAATCATGGACAAAGAATCTGAGATTTAAGATCTTCATCAGAGTTAACCTCGAGGTATAGTTTCGAATTTTAGTGGATATTATATTTGTGTATATTGATAGCTTGAGATGAATTTTCGTTTATGTTAACTGAAACTGTAAGAAAAGTAAAATGTATGAACTTATGCAGTGAAACCTCTTTATATTGGGCTTATAGGGAGAAACGAAAATAGAACGGTACAGCAAAAACTTGATATAGAGAGTTCCATGATCCTAATCCTTAACCTCTCAAATAAGATATCAAGTCTAGTTTTGCAATGGAATACAATTCGATATGCAGTATGCACTCACATCGTCAATAATAGCGATGTGAGCTCTCACGAATCACGAATTCTCCAAACACAGGCTTCAGATCGGGGAAAGAAATGAGCACGGTGTAATTGTATAGAGGTTTGCGGTATAGACATTTTTTACTGTGATATATTTTAATTTTTGGTTCACTGTACATGTAAGTGCTTCACTGCAAGTATAAGTGCGATATTCGATTACAAATAGATATGAATTCTGATGTCAAGACATTCGGAAAAACTCAATGGGAATTTATGGAATACCGTTTAAGAAATATGCTAAAAAATTAGTAATTCGAATTCCATATAATTGATAATTTGTAATTCAATTATTTTATTGTGTAGACCGAGACGATTTTATAAATCTATTGAAGATTTCGATATTCAGATTTATCATTAAAGATAAACTGATGTAAATGATCTTATTTGACTTGATTGATGGATCGCTTTAATGAGCAATAATTAAAATCAAGTTCTTATTTTAAGTCAGCTGATTATTCCAATCCTCGAAAAATTTCAAAGCTCATTTCGAAGTAGTATTAGTACGCTTGTTTGAATATCATAGAAACTGTAACTATCGTGATATGCATATGTATAATATTGTGTATGATATGAATTATATTTGATTATTTTCTTAATTTTATTCCTCCCTATTCCGCTACTTTTGAAAAATTCAGTGTTTTATTTTGTTACATGACTGGCTTTTTCCTTACCTGATTTGGTTTTAATTCCGAAATTTTCCTAACTTGGGTCCTGGAAGTGGATCAGACGATTAGTGCTGTACAAAACTAAGTTTTTTTAGTTTCTTCTCTTTTTCACCACATTATTCTGATTATCTTTTTAACTCCGGGATAATTTGAAACTGAGAATAACACGACGGAGGAAAATTCAGTGGAACCTTTGTGAAAAGTGTGGAATATTCTGCGGAATCACATGGCACTAAGATATAATACTAAAACGAATATGATTCTTCCAGATCGCTCGTTCTAATTCTAAAACTTTTCACATAATAAGCACTCGAATCCCCATTATTTTTATTAAACTATCAGCAGTACACTAGTTTATACGTATTAACAAGTAGATTATTTAAGGGGGAGGTTTGTGTCACACTGCTTGCAAGCACGACCGTCAGTCCTTACGGCTTACACCCCCTTTAATTTTTGCTTTTTTATTTAGACTCATGGAAAGTCGTTCAGCAGGTTTACATTTAATCCAAACTATTCTAATTAAATGTTAAAGATGATAAAAATCAACGATAATCATATTCAGATTTTTATGAAATGTGTTCTTAATACCAGCATTGCTCAACGTGTTTGATAATAAAGAAAGTAAGCTCACTATGGATCAGGAACTTCTTATTCTCGTCTTTCTTTACGGACTACGGAGTAACCAAACTAATTGGCAGGATTCTCGGCAACTTCCTTTTAAAGTACGTGAGTTTCCGAATCCTGCAGCCTCTTCTTTCTGTTATCATAGCATCCTGCTACCCGAGTCTCATTTTCCTGGACAACAGCCTGATTGTCACAGTGGTTGCTATGGGGATATGTAACATGTGTTTTTGTGTGAACTGACGCTCATGGAGTTTGATAAGCATTACTTTGGGACGGAGCGGCTTGTTCTGGGGGCGGGGGTGATGTCTGGATGTGCCATGATGGGCGCTGCAGTCGGCGCTATTGTAGCCTCGTTCCTGAGCAGTCACCAAGCTGTGATAGTTACTTGTTTGTTGAGCTGCATTCAAGTGGTTACATTCTGTTTCATCACAGAACGGTAGATCAGTAAGTGGAAAATGTATACCGAATGTATTTGTGACCCTCAATTATATTTATACTAGTGAGTTTTATCCTTAAAGTAACTCTTTGGATTTAACAATAATATTAATACCTACATACCATATCTTTATTTTTATTTTAATCATTTCTAAATGAGCAGGACTCAGTACACCGTGATATTCACAATTTTGTGATTCATTCTTACTTGATTCTGCTTTATTACAGAACGAATGAACAATTAAACTTAAAACACTTGTAATTGAAATTATTTCTGACCCTCAGTTATATTACTCAGTTAATAAGCAATATATTTTGAATAGCAAAAAAACGTAACGTGTTTTAATGAGATATTTATTCCAGGTTAATCATGTTTAAAGTATGAGTAACAACTAACAACAAGTAAAATGAGCTATTTCTTTGAATCAAAAGTTAAAATGAAGAGGTGCACTGACTTTGAAACTGTCATTAAATTCTGTATTTGGTCGTATTGAAAATATAATATTTATTACTTCCTGGACCGAAGTTTTACAGTTTTGACTTTTGAAAGAATTCTTCTCCAGAAACCAATTGCACCGTGACGGATCAATTTGACATTTTTTTAGCCTCTGTGAGAAATAAACCTAATCTTTTGGGTCTCTATATTTTTCAAATGGCTTTGCCAGCAAATTCTCCAACTCTCTGTGCTGTTCTGTGTACCTAAAAGAAGCTTGAAATCTGTCAGAGAATGTTAAAGACTCCTCATGTGAGATCTTTTCAATGTAACATCAAGATAGAGGTAAAATCAGGTACTTGTCAAAACAAAG